AACGTCTTAAACCAATATTTACTATAAATATCTTTGGATGTAAAATGAATTTAGCTCAAACCATAGCCACTAACTCAGCCGCTTGATGTAATAGAAACATCTCCATAATTTCAGTGCATATTTCTTCTATACTTCGACTCCTCGGATAAGATCCCTGATGGTGCTCGGACAAAAGCATATCTCGACGTCTTCATTTCCCTTGGCCAAGCAATTGAAGGGGATTCTTGGATGGTGACTACCAGAAGGCATCAAAAGAGTTCTCGGTCTGCGTTCGAAGACGTTGGCATAATTGGCAGTCTGTGTGCTGGCTTGTCTGTCGTGTGGCAGACGCCTTTCAGGCTGGGCATCATTCATGGCGCAGCATCGCACTCACGAAATATTGAACAAGGAGTTATGAAGAAAAACTTGTTTTCGAATAATCCCTTAATTATTTTGCCTTATTTGCTTGTCCCCTTCGAAGGAAGATTTGCCTGGAAATGTTTCGGAATTAGGTCCTACCGGTAACAAAATGAAGATCGCCTTGGACTGAGAAGTCCTCAGTTCATCGTTCTGCGATTCCGATGAATCCGACGTTGTCACATTGCCCAAATATGACACATTTTCACAAAGAAAATGAGGCCGGCTGCAAACTTACTAACCCTTTATACCTAATTTTGCGATATAAATGATATATTCTATGATTTGCTTGGTTACTTCATGATTGCTCTACATTCTTGCAGATGAGTTTAGTGAATACAGGGAGAGGAAGTGGGTATGACTGAATCTGTTTCCTCACGTAAATTAATCAGCATTTGATCCTGAAATGTTGACGAATGCTTAGGTATGTTGCATTGTGTATTATATGTATACAATGTTCAAATGATGTGAGCTATAAACTGACTTCTTCCCTCCCTGCACCCTCTCTCTCTCTCTTAGCCACAAATAATTCCCACTCAATTTTCTATGCTCGTTCCTCCCATTCGAAATGTTGGCTGCAACGTTTATTCCTACAAACTCTCTCATTTTTTGCTTGGATGTGAGGTCTCCGCGGCATGCAAGACGCTCTGTTTTGGATCATTCCATCTCAAGATCTGTACCAGTCGCGTTTTTGGCCAGTTCGGATTTCCGGATCCATATTCCTTTATAGGCGATTTTGTGTTGAGTTAACCTTTTATGTATGAGTCGGCAAGTCTCCCTCACATAGACACTACCATTTGAGCACAAAACCCTTTGGCATCCTACTCTAGAAGGAGCTGTATTCAGACTATTTCGTTTCATGTGAGGAACTGGTACTTCAATTTTTCCACAATCATATGAGTAGGACTTACGTTTCTATTGCTTACCAAAAGGCATTCTTATCCAGGCAGGAGTGGAGTACACTTTCAATCTCGCTCGAACTGGTCTCATCAGCACCCCCAGCAGGACTCGAACCCGGCTTGTGGTAGTGCAGCGTATAATCTCGACACGTTAACCACTAAGTCACACTGTCATGAGTGCCATTGCACCACAGGGCAAAAGTAAATTATGGAAAAATTCAATTATCGGTCCTTCATCATTGCTCTTATATCAGATCTACTGTTAGTCTCAAAAATTATTTATGATACAAAAAATAAGTGAGGACAGTGTCCGTTTCACTTTATACATCGCCCCTCAGTATTCTTTTCGAATGTTGGAAGGATACCATCTACCTGTAATGCTCTATATTACTAGTTCCCCGTATTTTATTTATTAGTATTTTAAATTAATTATTTTCTATTCCTAGTGAATAGTTGACTCACTTAATATATCTCCCAATATAACAATTTCCTGATTTAAATGAATTACTTCTCCTATAATCAGATTGCTTACTATATAAGCATAAAAGGCCTATAGGTCGAAAAAATTGAGCTCGCTGAGCACACGGTCAATACAGGGCACTCAATAGACTGGTCCGAAACACGTCTTGCGGGTTACGTGGACTTAGATCTAAGTTAACAAAATTAATAAAATCAAATTAACATAACAGCCAATGTCCTGAATAGGAGGAACGAATGTAGAAAACTGAGTAGGAACTATTTGTGGCTGTTGGATAGGCTTAAAGAGGAAGAGAGAGAGGGAACGCAGGAAGAGCCACTGAGCGAGAGAAGAGGCGTGAATTAACTTTGAGTTTAGCTAGGGCTATCACAATGTCCACGACATGAACATTACCTACTCAAAATAGACAATAGCACAAGCTTAAACATGATTCAACATTAGAGGATCGTGCACTGGTTTTTTTTGGGTAAAGAAACAGCTGCCACTGAGCGCACTTCCGGTTCGGGAAGTAACTTCATTCATTTGCAAGCATGTAGAGTAAGGTTGAAGTAGCTAACCAAATCATGGGATGCCTCATTAAGATCGCGAATTTGGGTGTATAAAAAAAGCTACAAGTTGGAGCCGGACGCCTTTTTTTTGGTTTAGTATATTTTGCTCTATTTTGTGAAGTATGGATACCTGCTCTGATGATGTCTGTCACGAGAACTTAGCAAAGTTTCATCGGGGTCGAAGGACGGTGGGCCGGTGACTTCTTCGCACAATTTTACAGTCTTCCCTACACGGCAAATCTCCTTCGGTTTTCGATGAGTCCACATCATGCATTTTTTTCAACCAACTTATCCTTCGAAATAGATAATCATGTCACGAACCATTTAATATTTTGTAGGCTTGGTGACTTCACATCGAATCGTTTGATAAAGGAGTCTATAGAGCCAAACAAAGTAACCACTATCCTGAATAAGAGGGATAAATATAGGAAATAGAGTGGGCATTATTTGTGCTTATTGAATAGGCTTAAAATGGGGGAGTGAGATGGAGCGGAAAGAGGTGTCTCTTTATGACTATTACACCTTACATGATTAGAATATTACATACAAATAAAACACAATACTACACACCTAAAGATGTGGCAGTATTGCGGGATCAAAGGATAGGAAACGATGAATTTTAGTTTTCCTTACCTCTCAAAAGACTGCCTCATGTAGGATGCACTTTAGTCTCGAAAGCTACAAATACTCTAAATAATTTCTGTCTTCATGTCCAGCAGATTGGCTAAAGTATCCCTTTGTAATAGGCCTGTAAATAAATTCGTCAAAATCGGCCCTAGAAATGGAAGATTTTGCGAATAACGATAGTTTTGAAATATATCTTTCATTTTCACTTCTTTGGCAGACCATTTTAGAGGAATTCTTTGTGTCAGGTTGTTTATAACGGCTGTTTATGCTGGACCGCTTCAGATGTAATCACGAACGGGTTGGAGGAATTAGCTACGACTGTTTTCTATGCGCCTTAGGATTCTACTTTCGTGATCCGTTTGTCCCATGATTGGGAACTAAAAAATTCTAGATCGAATGGGAATATCCTCTATATCAGCGACCTGCCCCTCACTAGCCTTATAAGTGCTATCATTGTACAAAGTGCATCACCGGTTATGCTCAACCTCCAGTCTGTGTCAGTAGCCGTCAAGAGGGATGTGACTTTTAAATGTGTCTAGCCAAGTTTACTACAGCCAAATAGTCTTTATTTATAATTTGATACATATTTTGATTGCTAGATTACCTT